GAATTTCCAACAATTTAAAAAGGGGCCCTAAGTATACTTCTGTCATTTTGTACTATGCATTTATGTGAAGTGGTGTTTTCAGCATTGACGATTATAAAAATCAAAGTATTGATCAACTCTGAAATATGTTGAAGATGCTTTATGTCCTATAGCATCAAATATTCAGTCAGGATATAATTCTTTATGTAAAATAAACAAGCGTTCATATCATTAGCATGTAAATCTGCTTCCACTTATAAAGCTTGGTAAAATTATACATAAAGAATCATCTTAAAATAGACTTATTTATTATATGTTATCGGTCAGTGTTTTACTTTTATATGCATTTTATTACTTACACGCTTGGGGGGGTCACATAAAAGTCTTGGGTGTCAAAGAGTTATGAGTGGAGTTGCAGAGCCCTTCTCTCACATACCACACTTCCTGTCACTTTGACCTTCTCCTGTACTTCCCAGCAGCCCGGATGTGGTAACTACCACGTGCCCACCACTGTCTTTGTTAAGATCTATGTATCTTTCATCACACAGTGACCCTTTATAAGTGGGATATGCCATTTTTTCCTCATTCTCTGATGAACTCAGGACTGATCACCAGTCCTGGCCTTGCATTGTTTGCATGAAGATAAGAAATGGCATCTTGGGAAAGTTATTTTACTTAAGTTCATGCAGTAGTAATCTGGATGAGAACTGGACCCAGATCAACACCATTCCAGAAGTCATGGTTGAACGTACCATTAAACATGTTAAGAACCCAAACTGAGCTACTTTATCTTCATACTGTACTAGGAAGGGAGAAGGCAAGTCTACCTGGCATGGTGGGTTAAGTAAAAGAATATGATACAGAGAGGTGTAGAATTAAATCCTATTCTTGGGCAAGTTACATTTCTCTGAGTGTCACTTTCTGTAGCACTACCACGAGGCGACTTTGTGAGCTAGCTCTGAAGCACCATCCTAGGTGCGACTTCAAAGACAGTCTATCCCAGCCCACAACTCTTGCTTTCTTATTACCATTAGGCTCTCTCTCCACATTCTCACCTCCCCATCAAGTCTCATTATAAGTTCCCTCAGCTCCTACTAAGCTACTGACACTGTCCTCTCTAAGTTGACCAATGACTTTTAGTGGCCACATTCTCTTTGTAGGCTTCATTCTTTTGACCTCTGTGGACACAATTATGACAGTGGCCACAGGACTGGGTCATACATCACTCGCCACTGTACACATGCTGCCATCCAGATTTCTGGAGCCTGAGCTAGACAACTTCTAGGCAGTTACTATCAACCAATAATTGTCAACGTGTGACCTATGCACGCACACAGTGACTTCAGAGTGCTGTGCAGCCTCATTCCCTTCACTTCCCTTCCTCCACACATACTGTGTTCTGGGTATTTCTGGACTCCCTTAAATGCATGTTCTTTCTACCAACTTGATCACTGTACACACTTGATTATTTTGAAAGGAAAAACAGTTATACTATTATATCTAATCAATGCATAAGGATTCCCCCCAGAGCCAGCTCCACTATCTCCTATCTCCTGCTTTGAAGATCTTTTCTTCCTTCCTTCCTTCCTTCCTTCCTTCCTTCCTTCCTTCCTTCCTTCCTTCCTTCCTTCCTTTTTGGTTTTTCCAGACAGGGCTTCTCTGTATTGCTTTGGAACCTGTCCTAGAACTACTTCTGTAGACCAGGCTGGCCTTGAACTCACAGAGAACCACCTGCCTCTGCCTCTGCCTCCTGAATGCAGGGATTAAAGGCCTGGGCTACCAACGTCCATTAGGAGGCCTTTTCTATGTAGCACAAAAAAGGAAAAGCTTCCATTTTTAATTACATGACATCACAACCCTACATTACCACATGTCTATTCTACAGAACGGAAAATAAATCTCCTCTAGTCCTCATTGATATATCATGATCATCTTCCTATTTTCTCTGGAACTTTCTATAGTATCTAAAACACAGTAGATGCCCAGTAAATGCTTATTGAATGAAGAACAATTGAACAGATGGGTGGGTAAGTGATATGCCCTTTACTGTAAAATATGGTAGGTTTAGAACTAGCAGTGTCTGCTTGGGGACATTGCTTGGAATATGGCCCAAAGGAAATCTTAGATGTACATGACCCCAGAATTTCATTGCTACTAGACAGTACGAGTGGTCATAACAGTAACCATGATGATAATAGCTACCATTAGCTAGTGCTTACTATGCATCAAGGCAAAATTGCTTGCTTTAAGACTTCAAGAAAAAGGAACAGAGAAGATTTTAAGTATAATTAAAGATAAGAGCAGAATCAAGACAATTCTGGGTAAAAAGAGTTATTCTTTGATCTGCTATCCAAAAATTTAACAGCTGTCTAAAACTCTGAAGAAGGAATATCTGGGGCATTTATTAACACAAAGAAGCCAGAGCCAGAATTAAGACTCCATTACTCACATAGATGTCTGGACTTGGCAGTAAATAAATAAAAAAATTTGGCTGCATTTTATAGTTGCTGTCTTTAACATTACCCAGTGAGATTTCATTCCTGGTCTAACTATATGAGTAAAAATTAACTTAGAATCCTGTGTTCATGTGTGTGTTATGGTTTAGAACCAAAAATGTTGAAGGTTTGGTCCAGGTACAGCAGTGTTTATAACAGGGGCCAGAGAGAAATGGCAACTTTATCAGTGGGTTAATCTATCGATAAAGTCATAGATATTCAGAAGTGGAGCCAAGTTTGAGAAAGTAAAAGTCTGGGGGATGCTTGTTACTCTTCTCTTCACTGTGACCAAATATCTGGCAAGAAGCAAATTAAATGGGGGAAGAGTTTTTATTTTGGCTAACAGTTTGAGGGTGCAATCAGTCTACCATGTTGGAAAAATTATGAGAGCAGAAATCAAAGCCAGCTTGTCACATTATCAGGAAGCACAGAGAGATAAACACTATTATTCAGCTTGCCCCTTACCTTTTTTTTTTTTTATTTAGTATGGGATTCTGGCCCATGAAATATTTGCTGATGCCTACTCTAGCATGGGTCTTTCTACTTCAATTAGTCTAATATAGAGACTCCAGATTCTAGACCCTGTCAAGTTCATAATAAAGGACATAACTTTGAAGGATTAATTATATTCATGGTCCTCTTCCCAGACCCTGTCTGCTTCCTGCTCTCACTAGGTGAGTAGCTTTTCCCCAACACATTGTCTGCCGCATGATGCAGACCCCAGAAACAGCTTGGTTGAGTGACCATGGCATAGACTGAGACCCAGGAAACTGTATACAAACATAAACATTTCTTATTTTTTATTTACCTCATGGGTTTTTTTTTGTCACAGAGATAGGAATATGAGCAATCCAGAGTCTTAAAAAATATGGGTAAAATAAACTTTAAGTGACAAATATTCTGATTAATGGTGAGTTCTGGTTGTATAGTATGCTTGAAGACCAATAATACATATTACCATACCAGGCCTTAAAGAAGAGTACACTAAAAGAAAAACCTGATTGAATTCTGTTCAAGGGTTTGGTATAAGCCTAATCTTTCAGCACGCCTCACATGGAATCAGCATTGGGCCACACCAGCTTGGAAAGGTCTGAGAAATACCGTCTTTACATGCTGGTGTTCTATTGGATATATTCAAAGAGGACTGCCATGGAGCCCTTTCTGACTTAGAGAAAGGAAGATTGACTATGCTTGAGTGTAGAATAGACTCTAGTATAGTATTATTATTTACATGATAAAATTCAACCCTATGTGAAGGCTGGAGAGAAAAAGGCCAACTTTTAATCTATCCTTGGAATTAACAATTTACATATGATGACCGGATCACCCAGTCATAGGAATTTATATTTTCATTTTGTCCTAACGAAAAACTTGACCATCTTTCTTTAATATTATCAACCTGGAAGCTTGACAGTAAGGATTAAAAATTGCTCCTCGCTTCCCACTTGGTTATTGGAAAGGTTCTGAAAGGTAATCAGTCTTGTGAAGCTACACTTTACAGTCTGCATAAAAATGCCATGATTTCCCTTCCTCTCCCCAACCTAATTGAAAGTGCATAATATCACCCAGCTGGGGAAATGTGTAAACGTAAACATATGCAATATATCATTCTATCACACAAAAGCTGGTTAGTGCTAGGGACCTGGTGGTTGTCAGAACCCTAAAAAATTTGGAAAATGAGTTTTTTTTCTTTCATCTAGAACGAGAACTTCTTGTGCCTTCTTCTTTGCCTCCTCCCTCCAGATTTCAAGCAGCAGCAGTCAGATTAGAGCAAGGTCCATTAACCCATCCCTGGAATATGGGACTGCAAGGCTATCTGACAATGCATATGGACCAAAGCTCTTTTAGACTATCCTTTTCCCAGATAGAACATTTTTCTTTGGGCAAGAGGTACGGTTGGAGTCATCTTGTTCCTCACTTGCTTCAGACAGATGCTCCTAATATCTCTTTCCCTTGCTCCTAAACCTACAGGTCACATCCTATCTCTCTCTACTTCATCAAACTCCTAGAACCAAGATGATCTCATTTTCCACCTCTGATCATAGTTTAGTTTTCATTGAGTATAAAACCCCAACCTTATTTTTCAAAGCCTCCTGCACTGTGATAGCTATCTATAATTCCATACCAGTTACACCTACTTGGAAGCCATTTTCCCTTTTCTGACTCCTCACCTCCAAGTCTCATGTCATCTTCTTGAATAAGTGCCTTACAATAGGGCTCTTAGGACAAAAGACAATATACTTCCAAAGTCTTCATTATTAGTTCTCTGTCACTGTATTCCTGCAGACTGTTCCCTGTTGTACCATGCACTCTACTGTTACTATCCATCCATGCCACCTTATAACTAGCTATTGTTTTATGTTTGATGACTGATACCTTACTGGCAGGTCAACATGGAACACTTGTCTAGGGCACCATGTCATTTTAGTTTTAGTAGATTGAAGGATGCATTTTTATTTGGTTCAGCAGTAGAGATGATTTGAAACTTACTGAATTAAAACTGCATTCATCTCTCACTAATATTACCTGTCAGCTAGGGCTGGAGGATGATATGGCTTGTTGACCTTGGCATAAAGACCCTCTAAGTGGTCTCTGTCTGGAGACAGTGGACGTCCATCCCGAGGGTAAGCAAGTGGTCCAGCTCGAGGGGGAGATGGAGATCTGAAGACATTTGCTGATGTGCACGGCTCCCGAAAGTGGTTCACTCTGGCATAATTGGGGTCCATTTCATCATCATCCATATCATGCACTGATCCAATCACTCCAGTGGCATAATCAACAAGACCTTTTGCCTGTTTTTCCCTTAGCTCCTGATGTTTTGCTCCAATCCTGAAAAATATAGAAGAGGTTGCATAGACTAATGTGAATCCCAGATCCTGATACAATAAAACAGTCTCTGTTAACTCTTGCTAACCACTTAGCTGTCACCTTCCTGTGTCTTCAAGATCATACCATGCAGAAATGCCAACAGCATAAGAGGATTAATTTTAAATCCATGACCTTTATTTGTCACAGAGTCTTCACTTTGATAGCAATGCTATAGGTATTCTGACACATCTCTGACTGATGATTGGGCTGACAGCAGTCTCTTCCTACAAAGGAGCTGTGCTTGTAGCAACAGTATGCCTCGGAAAAGATGCCATGGAAGTATTTCTTGGGACAAGGCTACATGGGAAAGAGCACATCAGAATCTTACACGTTTGCTATGGTTTCACTCTTCAGTATTCCAGAGTTTCAGTGTATTTGTCTAAGGAAGAGTTTGAAAAGAATGATTTAAATATGAAAAGAAATATAGAGACTGTCTGGTCAGTGAAAGCAGCCAAATTGAAGGTAATTTGTAAGAGACTCAAAGTCTTTTTTGTTGTTGTTACACAAATGGGGATCATTGTGCCTCATTGTACAAGGGCTACAGACAGAGTAAAATAATGAAGAAATTAATAGGATTGTGACAGAGATGAATTGGCACATATAAATGAATTAAACTTCATTACTGGCAGAACTGCATAGCCTTAAAACTTTAAGTGATAGTACAGAATGTTACTGCTAGTCAGTGATAATATATATAGACTACTGGGGATGGAGCAGGAAATATATTTATGTGTATTCTATACCTACCTAAATTGTGAGAATTTATACAGAGAGAATTCGATGGAAAGCTCACTAGGATGTCCTACTGGACAGTGGTGATGTGGATGGTGTTGGGAGGCCCTTTAACCTTTATCCTTGAGAATACATGATGTAGGATATATAGGATGAGAGAATGAGATGATCCTGGCTCGGGTATCTGTATCTAAAGAGATAGATGTTCAAGGAAGGATGGGGACGATGTTGAAGCCCAGGGCTCAGGGAAGGTAGGTAAGAGGACTCTGGGCAGCAGTGAAAGGTCTATATTTGCCTGGAGACACAGACAGAAGCCCTGGGCCAGTTATAAACAAAACCTGAAGTCTACCAGCAACTTCTCTTCAAACAAATACAGTTGTTTTTGTATGTGGGAGCTATTTTCATTTTCCAAACATCAAACCCTTTGTCAAAATCTTTCAAAGCCATATTTTTTCCTTATTTTGCATATCGATCCCAGTTCCCTCTCCCTCCCTCCTTCCCATGGCCCCTGATCATCCTCCTATTCCATTCCTTCTCCTGCTTCACAGGGAGGATGATGCCTTCTAGGAGGGATCAACATGATCTGTCAAGTCATTTGGAGTAGGGACTAGGCCCTCCCTCCTGCCTCTAGGTTAGGGGAGTATCCCTCCATGGGGAATGTGCTCTCAAAGTCCTTTTGTGCACCAGGGATACATCCTGGTTCCACTGTCAGAGGTCCCTTAGACTGCCCAGGCCTAATAGAGACCCATGTTTAGGGGGTCTGAGTCAGTCCAATGCTGGTTTACCAGCTATCAGTCTGGGGTCCATGAGATCCCCATTGTTCAGGCCAGCTGTCTTTGTGGGTTTCTGTAGCCTGGTCTTATCCCTATTTTCTTATCACTCCTCCCTCTCTACATCTGGATTCCAGTTTGGCTGAGTTTTAGCTGTGGGTGTCTGCTTCTGTTTCCATCAGCTACTAGATGAGGGCTCTATGATGGTGGATAAGTTAGTCATCAATCTCATTATCAGGGAAGGGCATTTATGCCTCTCCACTATTGCTCAGATTGTTAGTTGGGGTCATCCATGTAGGTCTCTGGACATTTCTCTAGAGTCAGTTTTCTCTTCAAACCTATAATAGCTCCCTCTTTTATGGTATCTCTCTCTCTCTCCCCCTCTCTACCTCTCTCTCTCCCCCCCTCTCTCCCTCTCATTTATTCCTCCCCTGACTCAATCTTCCTAGTCCCACAAGCCATAATTTCATAATTTTTAAAAGTATTTTTTTTTCTTGTGACAGGACAGTGTTTGTATTTTAGGTTTTGTTTGTTTCTTTCTTTTTTTAGAAAGGAAAAATTGGGTAAGAGAAAGAAAAGGCAACAAAACAAGATGCCTAGAGGTAGCCTAGGATAGAAAAGCAGCACCTACCTTGGGGTCACAACAGATGAAATTAAACGCCAGGATACATTATTGCCTATCTGTTTTGACTAAGCTAAAAATGTACCTGACATATAAATAATTGGAAGGATTTATATATATATATATATATATATATATATATATATTTTTTTTTTTGCATGAGGCAGTTTGAATCTCTAAGGGATTCTGAATTAAGATGAAAAGATTACACAGCAGGGTACCCATTAAAGGGCCTTGCCTGTCCCCTTTCAATGCATGTTAGTTCCAGATTCATAGATGTTTGTTTTGAATAATTTTTGATAAAGAAGACAGCCTCCTCCAATGAAATTTGAGACTCAGCCTAAAATGGGCATTATGCCAAGATTTATCATTTTTCAAGGGATGGTGCAGACTGGTTTGTCAGAGAATGCTTCCTGTACTATGACGATAGGGAAGCATTTCCATTGTAAATAAGGTAAAAGACACTGGGAAAGTCCAAGGGTGCAATTCAGTACACTTCCTCTCCCTCATAAGTGCAATGCTGCGAGAGAAATCAGTCAGTAGAAAGATAAAGACCTCCTGGCTACACTTGTGTATTAATGGGAGAGGAAAATACCAAGCCTGATTTTTTTTTAAATAGCATAAATAGAATGTCAGGATCTGTGTTTCTTATTTAATCTCTCCCTTTCCTTGAGGTTTTCAAATTAGTGAAGCTTGCTAGCTGTGTAGCGATTCCTAGATGAGAAAGTTCTTCGTGAATGCCAAGCAGTGTTAGATCTGGCAGTTTTCTTTGCTAAAACATAACCAGTTCTTCCTCAATCTCCTCTGCACTACTGAGGGTGGCAGTAACTAATTTCATATTAATCACTCAGTGGGTGAAATAGTGATTTCTCTGCACCATCATTACTCTGCCAAATATCAGGGTCTCTCCATGTGGGGAAGAGGCAGTCTCAGAAAAGGGTACATAAGAGCGGAGGAGACTCTCTCAAGACAAGTGTCAAAGAAAAAACAGTTCATCTCTTGCGCTGACCCACCTCCACCCCACGCAGTCTGAAATGTTTCTGATTGCTTCTTCCCAGGTGTCTCCTGACCACTGCAAATTCAACAGGTTAAAATACCGGAATTTCAGAATAGCCTAACAGCCTTCCATTTCATGGTACCACTCATTTGGCCGGCCTCCTGAGCACACTACCTTTGAATTATTGAGCTCTCCTTTCTCTTGCTGAAAACAATAGTGTCTCTCCTTTCCATTTACATTTCTTGATTGCCCCCCCCACTTTATTTCCATTTCCTTGGCTATAGTGTGTAGTATTCACAATTTATATTGCCTTGATCACCCATTTAATGTGGTACCCATTTGCTGTGTGTGTGGCCCTATAAATTTGAATTTGAATTAATTAAAATAAAATAAAACTCATTTTTAGCCTTATGAATTCATTCAAGTGACTAATAGCTACATATAACCAGTGGCTTCTGTGCTGACAATAAAGATAAGGACAGATTCCACAACTGCAGAAAGCTTTACTGGACTATGTCAGTCTAATTGATTCAGAGAGATTTTGGTATATCACTGTACCCCGCTTGTCTTAGCAACTGTGTTGTTTATTCCATGTCATAGCTTATAGTCCATCTCCTAGGGAAGTCAAGGCAGGGCCTGGGAGGCAGGAACTGAAGCCGATGCCATGGGGAGAATGCTGCTTACTAGCTAGTTCCTCGGCGCTTGCCCAATTTGCTTACTTATAGTGCCCAAGACCACTAGCCCACAGTGTTCTGAACCTTCCCATATCAAACATCATTTAAGAAAATGGACCACAGGCTTACCCTCGCACCACTGGTGGGAGCATTTCCTCAATTAAATTTTCCTCTCCCAAAACGACTCTAGCTTTTGTCGAGTTGACATAAAACGAGCCATCCCACCACTTTAGTCTGCTCCTGAGAACACTTCTCTAACCATCTTCTCAGTCAGATCAGGGATCTTCAGTGGATTATAACAGACTGGTGTGTGAGAGTATGGTCAGCTCACTACTTTCACTGAAACATTACATGATCAAGGAGTGGGGAAGAAAAATTAATCTTTAGTGGAGTTAGAAGTGGTTTCAATCCCACACCTCACAATGGAATTGAGACAGCCTAAAATAGGGATTATACCAGGAGCTAATATATGCTTATATTTTTAGCGGGGCACATATTTCCCTGAAGTAAGGAAGAAAGCCTGCAGAAGCAGAGTCAGCATGACTTTACGTAGGAAAGAGAGCCAGAGGACAAGAAAGGACCTGGGATTGTGTCCTGGTGAGGACCCAAACGGGGAATAACAGCTTCGGAGAGTTGAATTTCCTGTGTGTGAGTTGTCTCCTGTCTATGAAGAAACTTCATGGAGACAACGTAGGGATAAAATGAAATGGTAAGGAGGGTAAAAGAGCAAAAATAAATCCAGACTCATCAAAACAAAACCAAGCACTGAGGTAACCTCATCTAGGAGTAGGTTCATCTGATGTCAGGATAACCTGGCCCCGAATTAAAGACCACAGAAAGTAAACTCCCAGGACAGTGACACAGAGAAGTAGGAAAGGAAATTATTTTAGGAAAACACTTAGCATTGAAGCTACTGGTGCCTTTATATTATTATTCTTGTGTCACTGAAATGATGTTTCAGCATACATTCTAATTTAAATTTCAAACAGTAGTCACAGAAATATTTCAGCAAAGATCTACCTCCTATAAGGTTACAGCCTTCTAAAACAGTGGCACTAGCAGGCAGTCAATATTACCAGCATAATGGTATTCCTATTTTCAAAGCAAGTTATATGGAGGTATTTGCATGTAGTAATATGTGATACTTGTAATTTATACATATACAC